GGTGGGTGTGGCCAACTNTTCCAACCGAACCGGTTGGAACGGGGCGAGAAACCCACCCCTGACAATAGGCATGGATAAATTTCAGGATTTCCAACTTTGATTCAGTTTGTTTCATTCCACCGTCCATTTCACACAGGAAAGAAAAAAACATCAACATGTGCCTGCATTTTGGAATTTTCCAAGAGTGACCCATTTCTACACATGCTTTGTCTTGTACACCCATTTTCTGCAAATGATTTTAACGAACACAGCAGAGTTTTGTGTTTTATTTTCACCAACATATACTTTTCAATGCTTCCATGGTACTGTACAACATTCCATTTTATACCGAGATTTAATGGGAATACAACACTTCAGTTCAAAGAATACAAATTTCAAAGAAAAACGGAGTTTCGTGATTCTTGAAGAAAATTACTATTCCAACTGTAATCTAAATTTTCTTTCTTACCACCAGTCCTAAATAATTTTGATTCCAGTCTGCTTTTTTGTTGAACAGAGTAGGCTAATGTTTTAATTCTGAGTTTATTCTACATAGTAGAGTATTATAAAAAATGACAGAGTCCAAACTCTCAACTAAGCTATTTATCTATTAAGGTAGTCTTCTATGATTTATTGAATTTAGATATTTATTTTAAACTCCTTTTACAGTGTTAATACATGGAGGGAGAATTATATATTAAAAGACTGTTTCATTTTGTCTATGAGAATAAATATCAAATGTGCCATCCACAGTCCATAATAATCCACATCCCTATAGGACAGAGCTGGGAGAGAAATCATTGTGATCTAAAGACAGGTACTGGGCAAAATAGGATGATGAAATGATTTTGTTAACAAATATTGATGATAACAATAATAATGAAATGATAAGAGATATAGTTAACGATATATATATGTACTGGTTTAATATAAGGAATTTGGATCTAAAGAGTGACTTGGAAAAAAGGCTTAGAAATGTTGTTAACTAATGATAAGAGATGTGTGTGTGTGTGTGTGTGTGTGTGTGTG